GGAAAGGGCAGGAAGGGAGGAGGGAGCCTGCAAGCTTCCTGAGGTTTGCTGGCTAGCAGGCTTTATTCAGCTCAGAATAAGCAGTAAACGGAGAAAAAAAGGCTGATCTGTATCTTTGGCAGAAGCCTCTCCTTATGCCAGCCCCCTAGCTCTTCTGAGCTCCTTCATGCAGGCATACCTCATTTATTGCATTTCGCTTTATTGGGTTTTGCAGATAATCTCGTTTTTTTACAACCCTGCATTGAACAAGTCTGTTAGTACCATTTTCCCAATAAAATGTACTCACTTTGTGTCTCTACATCACATTTTGATATTACAATATTTCAAAGTTTTCATAATGCTATTGCATACTTAATAGAATACAGTATAGTGTAAACATAATTTTTATATGCTCTGGGAAACCCAAAAGTTAGTGTGAGTCACTTTTTTGCAATATTTGCTTTATTGCAGTAGCTTGGAACCGAACTCACAATGTCTTCCAAGGTATGCCTGCATATTCAAAGATTTTAAGGCTACTGAAATCTGATTTCTAGATCATAATGAAATTCCTGTATAAGAATTGATGGCTTTTTCAAAACTAATTCATTAATCTTGAATATTTTAAGTGAAAATAAACATCTGCCTCTTTTCAGACTTACTAATTCCTGTCCTTTTTCTATATTGAATCTAGATCCTGCACCAGCAGGCTGCTGCATTGCCGGCCCATTCTGGGCGTCTGCCAGGCAGCAGACTGCAATCTATCTGCCTACTTTGGTGTCATTCATCTCAGCAGGTTTGAGAGTCAGATGGAGCCTCCAACCTGACATCTGAACCATGGACTTGGAACTTGCCAGTCTCTGCAACAATGGGAGCCATTTCCTTGAGATAAATCAGTCTCTCTCCCTCCCACCTTACCTTGTTTCCTTTCTCTCTCTCTCTCTATACACACATACACACAAAAGTCCTGGTGTGGCACTGTAGAATAAGCACTGGAATGAAAGATTGTCAGTTCAAACCCACCAGCCACTCTCTGAAACCTTATGCAGGGGTCACTGTGAGTTAGAACTTACTCCATGGCATGCAACAACGACAATTGATATCCAGGCAAACATTTTGTTAATTGTTAAAATGCTGTGTAGTTGGTTCTGATTCATAGTGACCCTGCATAGGGTTTGTTGGAGAATGATTCACATTGACCTTTCCATGTAGTCCTTATCCTACAGTGCCACACCAGAACTCCAGTTAATTATAGTGAGATCAAAAAGTTTGCAGAATAGACCATTTATTTCAGTAAAGTGGAAAGACTAATTTTGCTTCGTGGTTGAAAAATGTGTTTTATGGCAGCAATGTTTTTAAATTGCTTAGTTTAACTGTATCCCCTTTTATCTCTGCATAATGTCCTTATCTCAGTGTCTCAATTCCCTCTTCTTTCTTTTCACACCAAGGTATTAAATGAGAAATATACCAAGTTGACTGATTGTTTGGCATATCTGATTTAGAGTAGCTTCCATAGCACTCCTCTCTCTTTTATCTCCCAGTAAATGCATTTGATGTAGACACTTAGCATAATGAAAATGACAGGTGCTTGAGGGCAAGTGCTTTAAAGCACTGAGGATCAGAATGTTTGTTAAGGATTACTTTTTGTAATGGAGCAGAGTGTCCTTTTATAGAATCCACGGCATGCAGAACACCAAAGAATCTCCTTTATTGTGAAAGAATAATCCAAATGATGGAAACCCTAAGAAACTAACAAAGGCACTGAAAATTGGACCACAAAGATTTATTTTTCAAAGTCTGACATTTTTCTGAAGTACATTTGTAATCTAAATACCCCTCTCCCTTCTTCCCTTTACAACATATCATTTTCAACCTGTTTGTTTATAGAATGAAGGCCTTATGGAAAAGCCTTTTCACAAAAGTAATAAATATATACTTGTCTCTAAGATAGATTTAACTGAATTTGACTAAATCCTGGTAAATCTCCAATCTTCAGAACAGGCATACAAAAGATACATGATCTTTATTAACAAACTGATGTAACATTGCTAAGCAGTAAACTAAATTATTCAAATTGCATTCATTGAACTCCTATAATGTGCAAAGTATCATTCCAAAGTAGACACTCTTCTTTAGATGTAAATTGGGCCAATGAAATTATAATTTCAGAAGTTAGGACTTTGATACATTCAAGGTACCCTAAAAGGAAAAATTTGCTACTATTTCCAGAGGCCCCCAGTTTATTTCTATGAAATAACAGAGGCACTGGAAGAACATAAACCAAATTTAATGTACCTTTATGACATAAAAACCATAAATGACAATACTGGGTACATTTTCTTGATGTAAAATTCTAGCATCTGTGCAAGGTAGTCTAGGAAAGGACACCAGTTTAAAAAGAAACCAATATCAACTTCAAAATAAATCAGGCTACAAATAAAAGTCAACTTATAGGAATAATAAAAACATAGAAATACCAATTCCACCTCTCAACTCTACTCTCTCAGACTGGAACTATACTCTCTCAGACCCACTGACATCATCGGGGACTTGAGGTGAAGTTGGTAAATGTATAGTATATTAAAAGTTAAATCATACAGTCAAGTTTTTATGTGTGGTCCCAAAGATTTTTCAACATATTGTTTCAATATGACAGTTGTAAGAATGCAAATTGAGGAGAATATAAGTATTTTCTTAGAGATAGCTTACAGAGTTCTAACAGACCCCACAATGGAAATACAACACATTACTATACTGCTTGTATGTGTCTCTTAGTTATTGTTTCCTGCTCTAAATAGGTTCTCCACCCAGATCACCTGTTATCTGCTGGCAAAGTACCTTCAGGAGAAGTATGTCTGCATCATTTACATAGCCTTCAATTCAAGCCTCGATGAACAAACTTAAGTTCAGCTTCTAGTCTCACTTTTTGGAATTTCCCACATTTGTTTAAAAGGATCATTTAAAACACTAAGGGAAAAAATGTCTCTGAAGAGAGAGAGAGAGAGAATTAGGAAGAGCTATGCTACTTCCAGCTGATGCTATGCTTTAGAAAGTTAAATTCAATCTCATCTCTTGAACAGAGCCCCAATCATCTCCCATTTAAAAAATGTGCTAGTCATATTATTTTCTAATTATGGTGCTTAAATAAAATTAAATGCATATAATAGTCATTAAATAACAAACTTAAAATAAATTAAAATATATGATCTGATGGTTTTCAGAGACGGTAATAGAGAAAGGTCAGGTCACATTCCTTTCTGTACCTATTTCCACAACAAGTGGGTAATACTGCCCTCTAAAGGGCTGATTATGCCACATCCCTTAATTCAGATGGTGGGACTTGGCCCTGGGAGGTACTGACTGACAATCACATACCACCCCCCCACACACACACACACATTCTTTCTTTTGTTTCAGGGACAAAGGCTGTCCTTGAACTTCTATGAATGACTTTGAAGACCATGGAGCATCTAGAGAGGCTGTGTTTCTTCATGAAATCTCATTGTTACATTGGTTCCCAAATCTTAGTATATATTACATGTAGGGTTTCTTTAAATACAGGTTACTGGGCCCCACCTCAGAGTTTCTGATTCTGTAAGTTTGGGGTCAGGTCCAAAAATGTCCCTTTCTTAGTCCTGGCACTATGGGATAAAGCACTAGACCGCAAAGTTGGTTTGAACCACAAGGTCAGTGGTTTAAACTCACCAGCTGCTCCTTGGAAACCCTATACAGGGCCGCTATGAGTCGAAACCGATTCGATGGCTCATAACAACAACAACAACAACAACAACAAGTTCACAGGTGATGCTAATGTTGTTGGTCCAGTCCAGGTACCAGACTTGGTGTACCTGACACGGTGCTAGGCAGTTTACCCTTTTTAATACCTCACAGCAGCATGATGTTTTATCATCTCTGTTTTATATAAAGGCCAGAAAGCTAAGTCTCAGACTAAGCAGCTGAGATCACAGTAGGTGGTAAAACCTATAAAAAATCCAGAACTGCATAATCAAAAGTCATGCTCTTCTTTAGTCTACACTATATCAGTAAATGGGAGGCCAGGTAAGTTATACATTGGACTGAAGTTTGAACCCACCAGCCACTCCATAGGAGAAAGATGAGGCTTTCTGCTCCTACAGAGATTTACAGCCTCAGAAAACCTATATAGGGTTGCTATGAGTCAGAATCAACTCAATGGCACACAACAACAACATATCAGAAAATAAAACCTTTAGTCTAACTTTCTAGGCATTAACTTCTTCATGCAAAGGTTCAAAACTTAGATGACCGCTTACTTTTATCCTATTATCAGATCCTCTACAGGGTTGCTCTGAGTCTGAACCAAATTGAGTAACAACATCAGAATACCTTGAGGGTGAATTTGAAAATCCAGCCCACAGACACCCAGAAAAGGTCTACTCTATACCCAGGCTGGTTCCATATCCAGAATGGGTAAACTGACAAGTGAAGGGGGGAGATGTCAGCTCAAGTGCCCTGCATTGGGTCTTCCTGCAAAGTTCAGAGGGGGAATATAGACTGCTTTGGATTCTGAGCTTCTTTGTACTCAGAAACTCTGTAAAATAGGTTTTAGAGCTAATCTCCCAGGAATGTTAAGAACTTGTGAGTTCTGGAAAGTGGCTTTGTCTCTCTATACTCTTCAACCTCCACTCAAACCACCACAGAAGACGCAGGGACCCCTCAGCTTTAAAACTGAAGTAATCAACTACGTTGGCTTTGCTATGTCAGGACTGTCAAGACTGAAAGGTTTTGATAAAGGAAAAACCGTTTTCAGGTCATATACCCCACTAAGATAATTCAAGTTACAAGTCCCTAGCACTCGACCCCATGCAGGATGTCATGGTGATGGGGAAAGGACAATGAAGACCCATCCATTTCAGAAAAAAAAAATGTTTTCTCATCCTTTGCATTCAGTTTCGGACTCTACTTGGTGTTTTTCTGGGGGATATAAACCTGGAGCATCCCACGGGGATGGTTTCTGGGCTTAGTCACGAGGGAAAATGGATGTTTCAGAAAAACAGTCCTTCAGGCTGGTCAGCAAAGATTTTGAGGTCGTGACTACGGCTAGTCTTCGTGGCGAACTGTACTCTGGACTCCAGCTGCTCACTGAGTTCATCCAGAGCCCCGGTGCAGGACTCCAGGCTCTCGGCCAGTTTCTGAATCTTGGCCTTCAGCACGGCCTGGCTAACTTTGGTGGCGCCCTCGGCCCTCCTGGGGATGAGGAAGCCACGAGAGCCGAAGAATACGATGAAATAGACAGAGTTGTACAGGGCGATGGAGGCGTTCCTCCCGCACTGCAGCAGCTGGCGGTCCCCGCGACCCTGCCAGCGGCAAAAGAACTCCAGGCAGCTCAGGATCTCACGCATCTGGTCCTGACAGGTGGCCGCGATCTCTTGTACCCTCCGCAGTTCCCGGGAGTTGCAGAAAACCAGGGAGAGGTCGGAAGTGATAGTGACAGCCCCTCCGGCGGTGGCCACCCCCAATCCCACGGCCGACGCCAGAAGCGAGGCGCCCAGGGTGATGGGGCTGAGCGAGAGGCCCACGATGGCGGCGACAGCTCCCGCAGCACTCAGCGAGCTACCAGCCACGTTGGCAGCCAGGGAGCGCCTGCGGAGGCGCTCTAGGCGCCGGGCCACCTCGCGCAGGCGCAGCACCTGGCCGTGCAGTAGCCCCCGGCGGTCCAGCAGCAGCCCCTGGAAGCGTCGTAGCGAGTCCGCACCCTGAGGCTTCCACGACGCCGGGCTCTCCATGCCCTGCAGGGACACATACACACGCGTACAGTTAGCCCAGCTGCTCCCCATACCTGGTTCCCGTAAGTTAGTGGGAAATCCTCAAAAGTTAAAAATAACAGCTACTGTCACTCAAGGGGCAATTTCTACTGGGTCGTATGTCAAGTTTCAAAGACCAGTTTTATAATATTGGACAAGTCACACAAGTCCTCAGGACTTTATATCTGCATATACAAATAGTTATCCTTTGCTTTTCTCCCAAAGGACTCTATTAAGTATCCATTGTTATTAATGTTAAGTGCTGTCCAGCCGGTTCTGACTCATAGTGATCCTGTTGCATAAGGTTTCCAAAGAGCAACTGGTGGGTTTGAACCGACAACTTTGTGGTTAGCAGTCCAAAGCTTATCCTACAAAACCAGGGTATGAGATTTAAACTCAATGAGGAGGGGATGGTGGTATTGAAAGTTCCTCCAATACTGAGGCCTTTACTGTTTGAAGAATAATATTTAACAAGTGATGGACTGCAAAGTTCGTTTGAACCGCAAGATCAGCAGTTCAGGCTCACCAGTCACTCCCCAGAAACCCTATACAGGGTCGCTATGGGTCAGACCCAACCAACTTGACAGGACTTAACAACAATATTTATATAGTCGCTATGGGTTGGAACCGACTCGACGGCACTTAACAACAACATATATATATATATATCGTGGTGGTGGTTGTGTGCCGTGGAGTCGGTTCCGACTCATAGTGACCCTGTGTAGGTTTCCAAGGCTGTAAATTTTTAAGGGAGCAGATAGCCTCATCTTTCTCCCGCGGAACATCTGGTAGTTTTGAACTGCTGACCCCTTAAGATTAGCAGCCTGACTCATCACCACCACACCATATGTATATATATAGATATATATGTGTGTGTGTGTGTGTTGTTGTTGTTGTTGTTATGTGCCATGGAGTAGGTTCCAACTCATAGTGACCCTATACAGGGTTTCCAAGGCTGTAAATCTTTATGGGAGCAGAAAGCCTCATCTTTCTCCTGCGGAACAGCTGGTAGTTTTGAACTGCTGACTTTGCGGCTCGCAGCCCGATTCGTAACCACTACGCTACCAGAGCTCCATACATATGTTGTATCCTGGTGTGACACTGTAGGCTCATCACTGGACTGCAAACCACAAGATCAGCTGTTCAAACCCACCAGTTGCTCCTCTGAAACCCTGTTCACAGTTGCTATGAGTTCTAATCAACTTTAGGGCACTTAACCACAATACAGTGTACAAAGCCCTTTCATTAGAGGGAGACTAGGATCCTAGGAGTTCTGCAACAAGTGAAAAAGGCAAGTCACCAAAACAACAAAATCATATTGTCTATTGAAAGTAAGAAACTAATCTTTTAAGTTCTATGTGTGCCTGAAACAACTCTTCCGCTTGTTAGTCTTCTAGACTCTCATGTTAGAATCAAGGCTAAAATATGGCTTACCTTTAATAGATAACGAGTACTCATCAGGTTTTCTTCAGAAATCTCACTCTTTGATAGCCACTTAATTAAAACTAAATTGCATTAAATTAATACTGCTGGTTCATTGTTATTAACACTTCCAGAAGAATAATAATTAGTAATGTTTGAATAAAATATAGTCCAAATTTTTGTCCAACAATTCACTGAGAGCTCCCTTGTAATAGCTGAAGCAATTCAAAGACAATTAATAATGAGAGAACTCTGTAGTCTGGGGTAAAAGAACATGTTTCCTACCTACCAAAGATTTTGTCACCTTCATGTCTGCTGTCCTCCCCATGACTAAGAATTTAACATCTGGCAAGTAAGGCTGAAAAGTATAACAATTCGGAACTAGTGCCTTGTATATAAAACAGTCTTTTCTATTTTCCAAAGATATTTGAACACATCTTTTCTCTTTTGGTTCTTTCAATAGCCCTGTGATATATCAGGAGTCCTGGTGTGGCGCTGTAGCATCAACACTGGAACGCAAGGTCAGTTTGAACCACATGGTCGAGGGTTCAAACCCATCAGCTGCTCTTCGGGTCAGGGACTGATATTCTCATCTGGGAGATTAAGAAATGACAACACAGACACATTCTAGGTACACCTGATTCTTCCCAGGGTTCAGATCTCCAGACTCCTATGATCTCATTTTCATGCTTCTGTAATCTAACACCTCAGTGATACATTTCCAGGCAAAAACATCTTTTAGCAAAATAAGAAAAAGTCACTCAAAATATTTGATGGACCAACAATACAATCCTAGCAGTAGAATCTAATGAGTATTTTTCAGATAGTATCCCTCCAGGCTCCCCACTTACCATTCACTTGGCTGCCTCCAGGAAAGGAAAATCTGAGGCTGTTTCTGGATGAATGTGCTTTATAGTTCCGGAGGACCAATGGCAGCCCTGGGAAAACCTTGTCTCATTCTGTGAGTTTGCCCTTTCCTGTCCTGGCCTCTGCTGTCTTCATCCAAAAGGATGTGACATGGTGGAAAGTGACCTGCAGTCACACAGCACATCCCGTGTTTAGGAAATGAACATTGTGTGTTTGCTTTCCCCGAAATGTAGGAAAAGAAACAGGCTCTTCCACAACTTGAAACAAGTGTGGTCATTCTCCCAGGGGGGATACCCTGCCTTTCCTCCCTTGTGAATAGCGAATGACGTTATCTAGGAGGACATCAAATGCACCCCAGGCTGACCATTTATATTGTTTCTTGAGAGGTCACCGTTATAAAACCATTTTTAAAAAGAAAACGGAGAGGAGAAACAAAACAAAACTCCCTTACATCTGATAGTAGCCACTCATGGTTTACTCCTGAAGTTTAAAAAATACTGTCAAGCTGTGAGTGGTGGAAACATGTGATCCATTCCGCTCACAGCCCTTATCTTCCGGTCTGAAGAATAAAAGGCCAAGCCCACAGGAAGGACTGCGTGCAGTTTTGGGCATCTCCAGCTGTGGAGAAGATATTGGAGGTCGCTGACAGGGCACACTACAAGCCAAATGCGTCAGAAAAAGCAGTGGGGTCAAGCTGCACAAAGAGCTAATTATACACTTTCAATAGTGGGGATTTGGCTTCCCAGGTTTTCCTTTGGAGCAACCATTGTAACCCTAGCTGATGGTGGTGGTTATGCGCAGTGGAGTCGCTTCCGACTCATATCAACTCTGTACAGGTTTTCCAAAGCTGTAAATATTTTGTTGTTGTTGTTAAATGCCATGGAGTCGGTTCCGACCCATAGCGACCCTGTAAATCTTTACGGGAGCAGAAAGCCTCATCTTTCTCCCACGGAGCCGCTGGTAGTTTCGAACTGCTGACCTTGCAGCTCACAGACCAATTTGTAACCACTACGCTACGGGAGCAGAAAACCTCATCTTTCTCCCACGGAGCAGCTGGTAGTTTCGAACTGCTGATCCTGAAGTTAGCAGCCTGATTTGTCATAACCACCATGCTACCAGAGCTCCTTAACCCCATTTGATAGTGCAATGAGTGCTATCCACAGCCTGGTGAAGCATGAGCTAAAGAACAATTATCTGCAAAATTCAGGAAGGATACATGAATGTAGCATTTGTGGACTTGTCACAGACCAGGACATTCAGAGGTGGTTGGAGCTCAGACTGAAATTCATTCCCTTCTAACACTCTCACCTTCGGATGCTGTTGTTATTGTTAGTGTCTTGAATTGACTCCAATTCACGGAAACACTATATATAACAGAATATTGCCCAGTCCTGTTTCATCTTCACAAAGGTTGGTACACTTTGTATTTTGAGTACTTTCCTACCTAGCCCATCCCAGAGCCATCAGGTCAATTCTGACTCATACAGACCATTTAGAACAGAGTAGAGCTGCTTCTTAGGGTTCCCAAGACTGTAAATCTTTATAGGAGCAGCTGGTGGGTTTGAACCACCGACCTTGCAGTTAGCAGTCCAATTCATAATCCACAGAGTTGCTAGAGCTCCTCCTTCCAACCTACGGCACTCATTTTCCAGCACATTATCTGTCAGTATTCTGTTGTGATCCATAAGGTTTTCACTGGCTAATTTGTAGAAGTAGTTTGCCAGGCCTTTCTTCCTATTTTAAACTGTAAATCCTGTAAGCTCCACTAAAATCGGTTCACCATGACTGACCTGGCTATAATTTGAACACCAATGGCATACCTTTCAGTATCAAAACAACATAGACGCTACCACAGTAAGACACCTGATAGACAGGTGGTGGCACCTTTAGATGAAGAACACCAAACTTGTTTTTCAATTAAATCAACCTGATTATTGCTGCAACTCTCTGGTCATTTGGAAAGTGTAACAGGCATATCTTTCTAGAGCATGGTTAAATTCCTACCTTTATCACTTTTGGTGTGGCACTGTAGGATCAGCACTGGACTGCGAAACACAAGGTCAACAGTTCAAATCCACCACCTGCTCCTTGGAAACCCTCTACAGGGCCCCTATGAGTTGGAACTGACTCAATGATACTTAACAGTAACAACAATAATTATCACCAGTTGTCATCAAGTTGACTCCAACTCATGATAACCATTCATGATAACCACCATGACTGATTTTCTAGAAGTAGATCACCAGGCCTTTCTTCTGAGATGCTTCTTGATGAACTTCAACCTCAAACCTTTCTGCTAACAGTCAAAGATATTAACTGTTTCCACCACTCAGGTACTTCTGTAACTATCCTTTGTATTTGTCAATACTATACTACTTGATGCTACTGACAACCACGGTCTTTTTGAGTTTGATTATTCTGAATTTGGGTTATATCCAAATATTCTCGCTACAACTCCTCAAAGGAAAAATAGAACCTGTTCAAGATACCATCAGTATCTACCTGCACTTTAAGAAGCAGGAGAATGTCTTCTTCTACCCCCATAGACATAGTAACTATAAATGGAATATGAACCAGGGTGAATTGGAAGCAGGCAAAGTGGGGCCATATCCTGACTCTTCAGTTCCTGTATGCTCTTCCAACTTCCTTGGCCGTTTCCTTATGTGTTTCAGGTTTACCATTGTTATGCAATCAATTCTGTTTCATAGCGATCCTACAGGGCAAAGTAAAACTGCCCCATAGGGTTTCTAAGACTGATCTCTATGGAAGTCTACTGCCACATCAAACCACCAGTGGCCTAAATGAAGTTTCACTGCCTATTAAAATTGACTTGTTGTTGTTAAGTGCCATCGAGTCGGTTCCAATCCATGACCCTATATATGTTTTCTGAGGATCAGCTGGTGGGTTTGAACAGCCAACCTTGAGGTTCAAACTGACCTTCCAGTCCAGTACATAATCCTGCAGTGCCACACCAGGATAAAAGTTGAGTACTTCACATTATTTACAAAAACTGTACTTTAAATTTGGCATTTATTTACTTTCACATGTCAAAGTACAAGAAGAAATTTAAGGAACAATTGAAGGCATTTTGATTACAGATCCCGTGTGAGCAGTCTCCTTCTTTCAGAGATATAAAAAAATATGAAATTAAGATCATTTGTGACTGTGAGGTTTAAACCAAAGGTCTTCCCACCTCTCCTAATGTACCCTCCTAATATGTACATTCACCCAAAGAAAGAAAAGTAAATTGAAATAATAGCACATATCCAGAGCCGACTGGAAGGCACTTAACAACAACAGCAATTAACCTGAAGATTTTGCTCATACATCTTGGAAATTTTACCAGAATGTAAATGAGATATTGTTGTTAAATGCCATCAAGTCAGTTCTGACTCACAGTGACCCTGTATAGGGTTTCCAAGGAGCAACTGGTGGGTTTGAACTGCTGACCTGCAATTAGTAGTCCAGTGCTTATCTTACAGAGCCACACTAGGACTCTGATGTTGTTTCATTAATGTTATGTGCCATTGAATCGATTCTGACTCATAGCGACCTGTATAGGGTTTCCAAGGAGTGGCTGGTGGGTTTGAAGTGTATTATCCTGCAGTGCCACACCAGGACTCCGATTGTTGTTGACGTTAAGTGTCTTGGAATTGATTCCAACGACCCTATATAGGGTTTATGAGGAGCGGCTGGTGAGCTTGAACTGCCAACCTTGAGATTCAAAGACCTTGCAGTCCAGTGCTTATCCTACAGCACCAAACCAAAACTCTGATTTTGCTGTTGTTGACGTCAAATCGGTTCTGACTCAGAGACCCTGTAAAGAGTTTCCAAGGAGCAGCTGATAAGTTTGAACCACCAACCTTGCCTAAAGAAAAGTGTTTTGTTCATTCAAAGACATATAATTGTATTTGTAATTATTCTATGAGAATTTAGCATTGAATTATCTCATGGATCTTCAGACTTGATAGAGGCACCTTGGACCATTTATTGTGTCGAGGACTTTGAAGATATCTATGTTGCATAATGAGATTTTCTGCTCATGTAAAGATTTACAGCCTTGGAAATCTTATACAGGGCTGCTATGAGTTGGAACAGACTCGAAGGCTCACAACCACCATGACCACCACGCTGCATGAAGGAGTCCTGGTGTGGCACTGTAGGATAAGCACTAGACTGCTGCAGTTCAAATCCACCAGCCACTCCTTGGAAACCCTACATAGATTCACTATGAGTCAGAACCAATTCAATGGCACTTAACAACAACAACATGTTGCATGAAATCTCAACTACTATTGTTCTATACTCTTGTAATTTGCACAGGGAACGAAAGACCCAATGACCATTGAAACATAACCATTTCATCTCTCAAAATGGGTCTCTGATCTTTGTCAATATATATATATATATATACATATATTCACACACAAAAATCCTTAAACACTAGCCTGTGTTCTTTTTTCCACTTAACGTTCCTACAGGTACAGATGTCTCTGTGTTGACATAATCCTCACCTCTGTCATTTTTTAATAGCTATAATATAATCCCATTGTTTGCTTAGTCATTTCCCTTTTAGACCCTTGGATTGCTTCCAGTTGCTTTTTTTTCTTCTTCTTCTTCTCCTTTCCCACAACTGTAGCTAAAGTTGACAGAAACATCTGTGTACATTTTCCCCCTTTGGATTATTTCTTTGGGGAATAATCACAAATGGAAAAATACCAGATGAAGGGGAATGAATATTTATGTACTTTTTATTACATATTTCTGTGTTGTTTTCTAGAAGAAAGTAACATATAATGCCTTCAGCTCTATAATAATAATACCTTCTGGCTTTGAGACACCTCAGAATTTTTTTATTATATAATGTTTAAAATTTTTTGGTTGGTTTTAACTCCACAAATATGTTTGAAATATCTACTGTGTATCCAGGTATCATGCTAGATTCTGAGGACAAACAATTGAGTAAGATACAGTTCCCACCCTCCAAGAGATTGCAATCTACTGGAAGGA